CGAATCTAAATTTAAATCATTTTAATTTTAATATTATATTGGATTATAATTAAAATATGCATTTTTAAACAGAATATCCTTAGTATATTTTTAAACCTAGTAAATTCTACTGGAGATTTAATGTTATTAATGAGATTCAATAGTGCTCGTTAGAGATTTTACACAATGTTAATCTCAAGTGAGATGGATATCGGATTTTAGATTCTTACAGTTATTTTTAAACTTCGAAATTCTACAGATTCCTGAATGTTAAAAAATAAGTGACAAATATTACAAAATTTGATAAAATTAGTGGAAAAGCAGCCAGAAATCTTTGTTTCCTGGCCTGTAATTTACATTTGCATGACATAAAAATACTGGATTTGACACGAATTTTTATTTATATTTTGTTGGTCATCTGAATTTTGAGAGGTTCTGAAACATCTCGTATCCTTCAAATAATAATAAGAAGAAGAAAAAGAAAACTGCTACTTAATATTAAAGCCTGTTAAATAAAGTATAATTTTCGCGAAACAAGTTTAAATATACAGTTTTTAAAAATGGACTACATGTTGATTAAGAAAACTCAAACAAAATTCAATAAATGAAGTATACAATTAAAGTTCCTGAATGCTGAGATTAATTTCCTCTGTTTAATCAAAACATATTTGATTAAGAATTCTAGTTTGCGCTAATAGTTGAAAATGATACAGTCAAGCCTGAATAGATCAACTGGTAGATAACCAGAATCATTAACACCAGCGTTTCTTAAACTGTGGGTCGCGACTCCCAGGAGGGTCGCCAAAAAATTTAGCAGTTTTGATATTTCTTTAACTTATTATAATAATTTTACAATTACCAAATATTTTTAAACAATGTATCTGAAAATAGATAAAGATAAGACAATACAGACAAAGAAAAAAAAGAAAACATTTCGACCCATTCTTTTTATAATAGAAACGTTCATTTTACTTGCTTTGCACGTGACGCTGTCATTTCGTCTGTTACTTATTTAAAATTTTCACATTGTTCTATATTTTAAAATTAGAAATGACCTAAAACTGCAACAGTATGTTACAGTACAAGTGAAAAAATTGACACTTTCCACACGCGTGTGTCGGATTTGTGCAATGCTTATGCAGTCCCACAAAATTTTCGTAAATATTATGGGGTCCTGGAGGTCGCCAAAGAATCTGAGTGATAAAAAGGGGTCGCGACTGAGAAAAGTTTAAGAAACTCTGATTTATACAATGCAACTTATTACTGCATGAACAGCCAGAAAGACTTGGGATCTATTAATAGTACGTTAAGTTACGTATGTTCAGAATTAGCAAGAAGATTCAGAAATTATTTTCGAGAATTTTAGAGAAAATGCAGCTAATTACTTAAAATTTCAGTAGGATTTCTGCGACACTGAGTCTTTGGCAGGGAGTGATCTGGGTGTCCACCAGGTGATGTTGGTGATCCAGGTGTCTCTGAAATTGCAACAATCGAGGTCTTTTTCTTTCCTTACGCACATTTTTTTTTATAAGTGAAGGCTTTTGTCGGACATCAGTAAAACTTGCCTTTCCAAAAATTTTGAGTTAAAGTATTTAATGCTTTTTCTAAACCTAGACTCATAAGGTACGAATAGGAAGTTTAAAGTTTTTGTATTTAAAATCTTTTTCAAGTTTCATGGATTCAATGATCTGACAGTGCTTAAAAACTGCTTCAAAATTTTACGATTTCCCTTGTTTTCAAAATAAGACATACTAATACTTGGAGATATAACAAAATAAGACATACTAATACTTGGAGGTAGTAGTATGAAGAAAAAATCAGCCTTTTCCAGAAATTTACTTCAACTGCTTACTTAAAATCAAATAATTATGCAAACGAATCAGCAGCTTTCATAAGATTAAATGAATATTTTTTTTTTTTTTTTCAAAAAAGTTTCAAGTAATACCTAAAGTTTCCTGTGAGCCTTTTTTTATGACTTTAGAATTCTGATCACTAGATTTTTTCGATTATAGCACAGCATATTAGCGCTATCTGCTGAAACGCAGGAATGTTATCATAATGGTCTGAAGTTCTTTCTCAGGAAAACTAGTAGTTCCTATCCTCGTTGTGCAGAGGCTGTTCTCACACTTTTTAGACGATTTACATTCTATTTACAGAAATATTTTACCTCAAATTTTTGTGTTTTAAATGTTCTGCTTTATAACTCTTATTCTTCACTATCTTTCTACCCCATAATTTCCAAGACAATAATGCCTTTTATAGTATCTGATGAGTTATTTTATCCCATTCCTCTTGAACAGTTTTCCAAGGTCTAAAAAGGGTTCTAGGTCGACATTTGGGCAATCTGCTTTTTAAAAGTTCAGACGAGAAAAAATCTATACTTGATACATCAACAGTTTTAGTAGCGATATGAGTAAAGGAATAGCCCTTGATACCTGTTTCTTATGCCATTTTTTCCAGGAAATTAACAATGGAAATTGACGTATGGCTGCTTGCTTTGCCTTGAGGCAGTTCTACCGATTGATGGCTTTGATACCCGTTTCTTATTCCGTTTTCTCCAGGAAATTAACAATGGAAATTGACGTATGGCTGCTTGCTTTGCATTGAGGCAATTCTACCGATTGATAGCCTTGATACCCGTTTCTTAATCCATTTTTTCCAGGAAATTGACGTACGGCTGCCTTCTTTGCCTTCAGGCAGTTCTACCGATTGATGGAGCTGTGGCTAAGGAGAAGGTTATTCATATTTAAAAATTGGTATAAAATATATTCCTAATAATATGTTAAATTGATATTAAAATTTTTATCCAATCTTTTTACTTTTAATTTGTCGTTATATGAAAAACCAGAAACAATAATAGATTCCTCTGAAAAACGTTTTTTGAATTCTTTGAAATATGTTTTAAGGTATTTTCTCCTCTCTGATTATAATAAATGGATAGCCTTTTATTGCAGTCATTTAAATGTACCCGAGATTCATCTCATGGGAGACATTTTCTCCATTTTTTGTGGGGGGGGGTTATATATTTTCGCCTTTTTAAGATTCAATTCAGTATGAATCACTTTGTTTGCAGTTGATACTGAGCATTTTAAAGATTTTGCAACTGTCTTTAGACTTGGCTGAATTTCTTTTAGCGTTAAAGAGCTTATCTTTGCAACATTCGAAACATTCCGTTTTCCCTTGGATATGAATTTGAAACAATTTTTGCACTTGAAGCCAAACTTTGACGTTTTTTTTTCCTTTCTTGTAGACTTTCTTGTGACTTGTTCCTTTTTTGTTGTTGTTTTGGTATATTACCTATCATAGCTTCAAATATCGAAAAACCATGGCATTCACAGCGTTTTTTTAATACCTAGATACGAATAAATTTTTTCAGAAAGAGCACAAACATAGCCTTCCATCCACTGCTTCTTTAAAAGCGCCATTTTGCATGAAATCAAAACTATCAAATAGCAAATGATAACTTACACTTTCAAAAAATATAGTTGCAGTTAAGAAAAATTCCAAGCAAACAACATTTTTATAGCAAAGCAAAATCGTCTAATAAATATGAGAGCAGCCTCCGTATATACACATACAGAATGCGTATTAAGACAGTAGAATAATTCTGTAATAGTTAACTTTGACCTAGAAACTTAAGAATATTGAAAAAATTAAAGGAAGTAGTGAAAAGTTACATTTTGAAATATTCTGAAGCCTCTGAAAGAGTTCTTTCCTTCTCAAATGGCTGGATACTTTGCTAACTAAGCCATTTGTTAGAAATGGTTGAACCGTTCAGTCATTTAGTCATCTCATCAGCGAGTGCTTTACTCAGGGTGTACCACAGGGGCGAAAGAATTTCATTCGCGAAAAGAGAGCCTGAATCTTAATTATAAAGAAAATACCTTGAGAAAGATCGGAGATTCACCCCCCTTCCAATGCAAATAATTTATATGCTTAGTCTTACGTAAGATTTAAAATAATACTAAAGTTAAAACGCAAGTAATATGTAGTAAAATGTGTGTTTCTTGCCGGTTTGACTACTAGCATTCACAAAGTACTAAGCACAGCACTGAGTTTTCAGATAAGACACAGAATTAATGAGTACTATTTTAATATGACATTTTTCTAAAAACACGATTTCAGGTGATAAAATTTTTATGTAACTAAAAGATATTCGTTAAAGAGTTTGCTAACCCGGGATACTGAAAACAATGCATTAATTTCGTGTACATTTTTGTTCTTTTATTACTACTTTTTTCTCTCCTTTTTTATACCGCTAGAAATAACACGTATTTGAGTCTATAAATCTGAAAGCATAGAAAACTTGAATAAAATAAGAAAAACCAGTTACATAATTTACAAATACGTTCAACATTCTAATGCAGCGAATTATAAAAGTGCTTCATACAAATAACTAGCCGTTTTATTGACGACGAAAACAAGTCATAATATAGAAATAATATTTATAAAAAATAATGGTAATGCTTTTATTTTATTTAAAGCTATTCAAAAATGTTTAAGAACTGTTTTTAAAATTGAAAGCTTTATAAAATCAACAACTAATTTTATAATTTTGCAGTCGCCTTCACTGTGAAGGATTTTTAATTTTATGTCGCTAAAGAATCGCTTTAGAACGCTTTAGAACTTTATGTCGCTAATTTGCATATTACATGACACTAAAATTCATTACATTTAAATTTTAAATTTGAACTGAATTTTAAGTTTTGTGCAAGCGCTTAGGTTTCCTGTGTTTGTATTATTTTTTTATTAGAAAAATTGGTGCATAAAATTAAAATTGTTGTTTAAAAATTTGCTTCAGTTTTTATCGTATAGGGCACTATTTATCGAAATCCAAATTTAGATATTTTTTTAATTTAGATTTAAAATGTACCTTTTAAGAATGTTTGAAACAATAAGTTAATAGTGCTTGTGATTAATAATTATTTTCATATATATTGCAGCTGCGTAGCAGATTCCAAATGTTGTTGGCTCTGCGCACGTGGGAGAGAATATTCGAATCTGCGGCGCGTATTAAAGCTTCGCATTTCTTCCCTTTCTTTTCATTCCGACACAGCTCATCCCAAGAATCGCTCCAGAACCTCCTCTCATAATTTACTTCGGAAACGCAAAACTTTCTTGGCGATGTCTCTTTTAATAACATTCTGTTTCATACTCTTCACTTTTTCCGTAGTTCGGAATCAGGAAATGCTTTCTACTTCTTCGCTGAATGGAAACTGGCCATCTGCAGACGAAATGCAGGTAAGGAAAAGGGAGTTCAATTTTATTTACTTTCTGTGCCAACACCGAAAATGATTTGTTGTGAAATTCCATCAATATTTCTTCTACACTAGAATCTCAGACCCAAAATAAGAAGATTTCTTAGCTGTCCGAGTTAATAAAAGTCCAAATTAAATGAAATAACACCAGAATTTGACAATATGAAATAAATAAAATTTTAAAGTAAGTTACGGAATTTTATAATCCAGATCTTTCAACTTCTTTGAAAAATAAGTTTTTATACTTATATCAGCGGTCTTCCACGGAAACTTGGGATTCCATTAAACTTTTCTAAGAGTTCCGGAAGTCAAAATCAAAATTCGAAGTAGACGGCATAGATAATCATCTAAAGTAATTAACTAATTTATACCTTACATTGTTATTATTATTTAAAATTTTGAATTAGATATATAGGTCTCCACTCATTCGCATGTAATAAAAGCAAAATAGGGAAAAACAAGGAATAATAATACGTTAATCTATTTCCATACGAGTCCATGCATTAATAGGACCTACTAACTACAAAATACAAAAATACAAAGAGTTTGGGGAAGGAGTAATTGACATTATTTTTACTGATATTGTAAGATTATTATTATTATTGTTATTCAAGCTGTAAGGGCTTCACACTCTCAAGAGCTTGATTTATAATTCATATTTCCAGTTAAAATTACCTGAACAAAGTGACATTAACAATTAAACATCAACAAGAATTACTTGAGGCTTGGTATGTAGAAATTTATGTAGAATATGCCAAAATTTCTAAAAAAAAGCTACAAAAATCATGGCCCTTCGTCACAAATTATCTGAGTCAACAATCATTTTAAAACTATGGAACTACAAAATCAAAATACAGAAGTACATTGAACACCGAAGAATTACAAAATCAAAATACAGAAGTATGTACAGATAACAACAAAAAGGGACAGAGTTAGAAAAAATTTCAAACACAATTCGTTAATAAAATTGCAAACGTATTTTAACCATTGAATTTGTGTAACATAAAGTAATCAAGAACTATACTTACGGAGCTTGCGTACAGATTATCGAGTGCAAAATTACCTTGAAATAATGATCTTATTATTTTCCACACAAAATGTAAGAACAATTGATATATTTTCAACGTTTGTTTAACATTTACTTTTCTAAGTATATTAGAGTTAAAAAAAAGAATTATAGTTGTATGGTTTCTTGAGTCGGCAAAGTTTTAAAATCATTATTAATATAAGCAGAAAGCCATTAATAATAAGATATATAATTGCAGGAAATTTAATTTGTTTGACATATTTGTGTGTGTTCCACATTTAGTTCTGACGTTGACACAATGAATCAACGTTCTTTCAGTTTTTAAAACATTTTAACCAGCATAAATACATGAAATACAAATTGCATACACAGTTTTAATGCTAGATTTATTCTTGCATTTTTGAAATTCAGCTTATTCTTTGCCAATTGTAATCAGGTATTTTTCTGAGTACAGTTAGTATTTTTATATGTTGACAGAGAATTTTTTGGTTTAACCCATACCCACATTTGTTTTCAAGATGATGATTTTCTAGGTCAGTTGATTGTCGAACAAACTGGGATGGAGGAATTGGCGATTATTATTTTCCGAAGGGGTGATATTGCATTTGAATTTATTTATTCCATAAATAAATCATGGTGAAGCCTTACATATTTGTTTCTCTTCAAAACAATATCTACTCTTACACGCTATGCATTTTCTATCACGTAATTTAAATGGTACTTTCTATAATAAATGCTACTACTAGTACTACTACAACTCGCTCAGCTTGAGTCTTCATGTTCTTCACTGGAACTCACTTGCTTTTATCTAGATTTCTTTTTTTTCTCCCTGTCAAATGCTTAATTGCACATTATTTAATATTATTTTCGAGATTTTCTGAATTAAGTGAAATTGATCTTATTAAGGTTTGACCTAACAAGGGCTTACTATACTTATATGTGCTTTTTTTCCAGCTTTACAGTTATAATCTTTAAAACATTTATTAGTCCAAAGGGGCAATTTTCCCTGACAGTTAATTTCGTTTTGGCATTTTGCTTCGAAAACTTTAAAAGGCTGTATCACATTTCAAATTGTTGGCGCCATACATTATCGCACTGTCTTATATTTAAAGAAATTAATTAATGAAGAATCCGCATAAATGCATGTATGTTTCTCGCATTGTGATAAAACAGCGGTACATAGAGCCATCAAAATTTGAATAACATAATCTTCCATAGAATATGGACCATGTGGAAGCTCTAATTTTAATTAAAAATTTTTAAAATTTATTTTATTATCGATTTCAGATTTTGTAACACTTAAACGAATTTATGATTAAAAAACTAAACGATTTCAAAGCAAGCAATAGTAACACTGCACGAAAAACAATTTTTTTATCTCCAGCGTAATCTGTATCGTAAATTATATTTCGTGATAAGATAAAAAATTTGAATGTTTCAAATTTTTTATCTTATCACGAAATAACCGACATTCGTAGTTTTACTATATTAGTAAATAATGTGAATTGGTTTTGAAGATCAGAAACCATGATACGTCTTTTGAAATGCATTGTTATCTTTCTTATTGAAACCGAATATTATATTCGTATATTTTTCCTCAGGATGTATTCTCCCCTAATATTTCAGCATATGATTTAAAAACTACTATTTATGATATCAAGGTACAGCTTATGGTCCACTAACAAAGTACATAATATGCAACTAAAAGCAATAACTGAGTAACTAAAATACAAAATAAAATAATACCTAATAGATCAAATGACATATTCTTCTAATCTTCCAAGTTACTCCTTTAGTCCTCCTTTCAGAAATGATATACGCCGCATAATTTTATCCTCTTGCTTTTCAAGGAAAAAAAATCAGTTAACTTTTCCGCAGCGGTAGAGGCCAAAATCTGTTCCTCTCAAACATCTGAAAAATCCCTGTATGTGAATTTCTGTTGGAATGCATTTCATTATCACGTGCGAAGTAGAATGCTATAATCGTAGCAATAATCTACTTCAATGCTACTACTCTCTTGAGGATCTTTTTGCGGTTTCATCCACTATGTACAATTTTCCTTTAGAATGAGATTGCAAATGCGAGTATCAATAGCTAAACGTTGAACCTAAACCAAGGAGAGAAAAGGTGTATTCAAATAGAAGTGTTCTAGTAAAAAGCTTTTTGTCTCTTCAAAAGAATGGTTAGCATATCATTTAACAAATCCCGAAACTAATGCGCTAACGTGATGGAGAAAAGCACGGAGTAGAAAATGGACGCAGGGCCCTTCGGGTGACTTGCCAAATGTGCGAACGCACGGGCGATTTCGCTCTGAAAGACTTAAAAAAAAAAGGAGTAATACGAGAATAACTATAGTATTTAACTACGATTATTAACATATATACATCTACGTCTTTAGCAGAAACTTTAAAAGGTACTTTGGAACAATATACAACCACTTGTATATATAGAACTTAATTGATCCCGTAGTTTTAAAAAAAATTAGTTTTCAAATAATGGTTTTAATTTCTTAAAATTCAAGTTGAAAGGTGAGTCCATTAAATACTATGCAAAAAGATTGTTGTGGTAATGTACTATTCTGTATTTTCATGTATGATGAAAATTATTTACATTTATCTAATTATTAATGCTCGCTATTTTCACTCTTTTTTCCACAGACACTTTCACAGTAATATTTATCTAAATACGTGTGTATTTATCTAATAATATAATATTTATCTAATAATAAGTGTTTCTTTTATTTCTCAGGATAAATTATATTATTATAACTATGCATGTGCAATAAAAATAGAATCTGACTCCTATGAATGTATTTTTCTAAGATATCTACTATTGTTTTAAAACGAAAATAAAAAATTATATTATTTCAGAAGTATTTATTTCTTTTTCTTCTTTCTAAAATTTTATTCCTTCTTGTAATAGCAATTGATACCTAACTACAAAAATTTCGGTATTCAGAAAATGTTTATTTTATTGTTTGCTGCTAAAAGTATTGCTTATGCTCAAAAGAGAAAAGCCTGATACTTCATAATTAATTCACATTTTACATTTCTTTGAACGAATGCTAAAAATGTATCGCAGCTATGAAAACCTTGGGATTTAAATTATTTGCGTAAGAAGGCAGATTAAAATAAACTGAATGGAAGTGTACTATGGAGAAAATTCTTACATAAAATTGACTGCCACCCGTTACTTTAAAAGTTACTTATTATTGGGTTCACTTAACTGTAAAAAATTTTATATTTTTAAAATATCACTTTTTTGAATATCACTATCATTATGTTTTATATTAGTGAGATATTAAAAATTACAATATGGGAAAATGAAACGCTTATATAAAATAAGTTTCGGCAACAAATATATTTTATTACTTTTCCTGTCGCTTTCTGATAGATCTACAAAATTTTTAAATCATTTCAGGCAGCATATGTTTATAAAAACAACTGTTATCAGGAAATTCCGTGTATGTTTCCAAATAACTTGCTTGTATTAAAATGTTAACGTTTTACTTAAAAATATCAGAAAAATAGTGCAAAATATTAGAACATTAATAATGTGAAAATATATGCGAATAAGTACTGTTTTTCTATACGTAAGTACTGTACGCGATTAAGTACAGCAAAAAGTAGCATTTTTATTATATAAATTTGGTATGTTTCCAGATTTGCTTGCAACTTCTTTATAAATTTAAATATATTTGCCATGCAATTACACCAAACTATCCTTTCTTACTTTACTGGATACGTATGTGCCTTTTAATTTATTTTCGCTTTTGTTTCAGAAGATGTACATATTTTTTTCACGTTTTTATTTAGATTAGTTTTCTACTTGTTTGCTCGCATGAAATTTGGCTTAATTCTATCTAGTGGACTTTCATAGAATTTTGCTTATATATTTCGATGACAATACAGTATTTCACATAGATTTTCAAAATTCGATATTCATTCCTTTTTGTG